GTAGTTCCGATCGACGGAGAAGACGCCGGTCAAGATCCAGAAGTAGTAGGCGCCAGAAACGGCATTCCAGGTCGCGATCTAGACGCCGTGGACGTTCCAGAAGTAGATCTAATAAATCACATAACCCTAAATCCAAGAATTCTGCAAGCCGCCGGCGAAAATCTCGTTCTAGACGAAAATCCAGATCTGCTAGTTCCAGAGACCTTAGTGATGTTCGTCGTAACCGTCGGAAGCGTCGTAGGCAGCGCAGACGGTCAAGCTACAGAGGTGAAAGTCGCTCGAGTAGATCATCATCCAGGAGTGGTTCGCGTCGTCGATCGCACGCCAAGAGAAATCATAACTCTGTTTCACATAGATCAACGCACTCTTCATTGGCCAGAGACTCCAAGGATGGCAGTACAGGTCGTTCCACTCATCTTCTATCTTCTCCAGCGTCTCTAAATTCCCTCCATTCGGGCAAAGCATCTGTTTTGACTAACTCAGCAAATGTGGGTCTGCTTGGGGATGTTAATTCTCGCGGTGCTTTTGGAGCTATGACCCCACTAAATCCTTTGGCCGCCGCAGCTGCCGCTGCAATGCTATTTGCAAATAGTGGACCAGGTCGGCAACAGAACGTACTCCCAGGACTCAGAACTGGCCTGGGTGCCACTACAGCCCCAGGCCTGTTAGGTAGCTTAGGGGGCGTTGGTCTTTTAAGTATTCCTGCTAAACCTCTCGCTCTTGCCAATTCAAATAGGCAGGCTCGCCGGCTTTATATTGGCAGCATCCCACCTGGACTCACTGAGGAGGCTTTGGTCAACTTTTTCAATTTTGAGATGCGTCTGAGACATCTTGCTCAAGAAGAGGGTGATCCCGTCGTATCTGCCCAGGTCAATACAGATAAGAATTTTGCATTCATTGAGTTGCGTTCTGTCGAAGAGACCACTACAGCTCTTTCTTTGGATGGGTTCTCTTGCATGGGCCAAGCTATTAAAGTCAGACGTCCCAGAGATTACGTACCGCCCGTGAGTCTCCTTGATGCTACACCTCTTCCCGGTGGATCTGGTTCCACTCTTCAACCTCTGATGCAAGAATCACCAAATAAGATTTTCTTGGGTGGAATTCCTTCTTTTATCGAGGAGAAACAAATGCGTCAAATTCTCGGCAGCTTTGGACCGTTGAAATCATTTATTATGATAAAGGTGTGTTTGCTAATTTCTTATCCTTCTGTCTGTAAGTCTAACTTTCATCACTAGAAATTGTTTACTACTTATTCTAGAAGTCAAATTAAAACATCTCTAGGTTTTTAATTAATAGCTAGGGTTTTGGGACTACCAGTAAATCATTTATGTTGGGTATATTCATCCCATTTCATTTAAGATTTCGAATGGCTGGTAGTTGAATTTTCTCACAATGATATGAATAGAGCTGACGTTTCCATTGAATTTCACATAGCCTTGCTTTCCCAGAAGGTATTATCATCCTGGGTAAACTGCAATTTTGAAACTGCCGCTTATTTAACTCTTGGTATATTGACTTCTATCCATAACATATTTTAGTACTCTACTCTGGCCGGCTTACATGTATAATGATAGTATAAATTTAGACAAGCCGGTCTAAACTGCCATAACTGACCTCTTAAAATAGATCGTAGATCTAAGCTTTTATTCTTACTTAATGTTGCACCATTCATACTTTGAATCTTCTATAATTCTCAAATATCTTTGATCCTTAGGCATATATCCATACTCCATCACTTACTATTTCTCCAGGTTGCTATTCTCTCATATGGGTTGCATAATTATGGTTATTTCTGGTGGTGCTGCCATTTTCAATATGGCTTCTGAAATCTAGTCAGTTTCCTGCTCTAGTGTTCGTTGAGTTTTAAACCATTTCCGCTTGGCATTCATATTTAACGACGCAGCAGTTATATGCATTATTTCTACAAATGTGTATAGTAATTATGCTTGGCTGTGAGTTAACTAGAGTTATTCAACTTCTCTCTGTGTCTTTACATCTTCGTATTTTTATTCTCATCGCGTGTTTTGACTTATATTTTCTCTTACTGATTCCTAACATGGCGAGAATTCATTTGTGCTTGACCATCTCATTTAATCCTTGATGCTGATTAAAGATAAGACCTGTGTTTACCTTTTGGGAAACCATTAGTTTCAAACAGCTATTGGTATATTCTTATTTTGATAGAGTAGCAAAAGAAGGACTGACGTTTTCTCATTTTAATATATCTCACTTTAGTGGTACACATGAACTTACTAATCGCAAGCATATTCCATTTTTTATGTACCCTATGTGCTATCCCTCCTAAGCAGTTCCTTAAAATATATTTTACGCTTAGCCAAGTTTTTCTACTCGCTTATTTGCCTTAATCCTTCCATATTTAGCATGTCAGAGGTCTTGTTTTATTTTTTCTAAACTCTATGGTACGGATTCTCCTTTGGCTGGCTACTGCCATCTCTAAACTAATTAGCTAATTTTTAAAGGCTCAAAAATAAAATTTTTTTTCGACGACAAAAAACGTGGTTTGATTTTGATCACTTCATATCTCCTTTTATCCTTATATTGCGTACTCGTAGCATTAATGCGTAGAATGCTGTAATTCACCTATTTAATTATATCACTTTATTTCGGTCGTTTATTTATTCGGCTCTAATTTTTTTGTCTTTTGATCATCTGCATTTTGAATTTCATCTTTCAGATACTCAAAAACTAGGATTACAGGCTGCAATTTAAATTTGAATGCTTTCGCTGAGTACATCTTGTTGGTTAATATTTTAGGAGTTACATATCTCTGGCCTCATCGCTCAAAGGGAAATCAATATCACCAACTTGCTGTTTTCTCTGTTTATTTACTCAGCAAGGCTCCAAGTTTCAAAAAAAACACTCCAGCTTTGTTTTCCTTTACTTTTTGATCTTTACCCATTTATTTATTATACATTCTGATCATGAAGTTTGTCCATATGATGTAACAATCATCTGGTTACATTCCCTTAATACTGCTAGAATATAATTAATCAAATTATTTCTTTTTTTATAAACATATAGCAGATATCTTGAATATTCTCTTTAGGGGCTGAGTGCAAGTCCCTATCCTAGTATATTTTTCATGTCTGCTTATGTTCACTAGTCCTCTTTCATGCTTGTCTTACAATCATGCTCAATCCCCCAGTCTACTCATAAACTTGGTGATCTATACGCCAGGTCGGTACTTTTGGCTAGTTTATTGGTCTATATAATTGTTTAAACTAAACTCGTTTAGGCCGCTAAACGTATGCATTGCTCTTAATTTATCTGCTTCCTATTCTTTAAAAAATTGGCACA